ATGCTAAAAAATAAACGAGTCAAATTCTTAAAGAATAGATAAAAGTATCATTCGTAAAGAATAAATGAATAAAATCGAAATTTGATAAAAGTTAAAATTGCAATTGAATTAATGTGTGCTAGAAATTAAGGATAATGGAATTAGTTAACAAATTAAGTCGTTATTTCCTACTTTGAAGGTAATCAAATACACCATAATACCCTTTCATGCCCGTTTCATTCAACTACAAGGTATTTTTCCATTTTAATTAATGTAAAAATATAACTAAATTACTTTCTTTAAATAACTAAAACCATTGATTCACACTCATTCCTACATCCACATAATATATACTATCCATATTATAACCTAGCCATATATATATATATATATATATATATATATATATATATATATATATATATATATATAGAGAGAGAGAGAGAAATAAAGAGAGTGTTAGGATCATATGTTACCTATAATTATTGTGTTATTGTGTTACTATTGTAATTCTTACTAGAATGTCATATTTGCACGTCTATTCCTCCAAGTTAGTTCAAGAATGTTCAACAATGTAATATTAATTTTAGTTTTATTCTTCGAAATTTTTGAAAAGAACAAAATTACATATTTTTGACAAGATGCATTCTTGAAAAAATGTCATTTAATTTTAGGTATTTAAAAAAGAAGACACATTTTTTTACAGAATATACATATTTGTATAGTTATTATACAAACATTATCGAACTAACATGGATGAATCGAAGTGCAAATATGACATTCTGGTAATAATTGAAATAGTAACACAATAATTGTAGGTAACATATGATCTTTGCCATATATATATATATATATATATATATATATATATATATATATATATATATATATATCTAGGTTCCGGTGATGACTCTTTTAAAGCGAGGACTCGTGATGATACCTTAAAAATTTGAAAAAAATCTAAAAAAAATACAAATCTTAAAATCGAGCATAGTACTATATCCGGGAGAAAAAAAATTGGAATTTTCTTTTTGCATCATTAAAATTGAATCATGGATCATAAAAATGATCCATGCTTCAATTTTAATGATCCAAAAAAAAAATTCCAATTTTTTTTCTCTCCGATATAATACTATGCTCGATTTTATGATTTGTATTTTTTAGATTTGTTTTTTCAATTTTTTTAAATTGTCCTCACGAGTCCTCACTTTAAAAATAGTCATCACCCGATTAATATATATATATATATATATATAATATATATAATATATATATATATATATATATATATAGAGAGAGAGAGAGAGAGAGAGAGAGAGAGAGAGAGAGAGAGAGAGAGAGAGAGAGAGAGAGAGAGCCCGTCCCAGAGGGTGGGCGATAGGGGCGACCGTCTAGATCCAATTTTTTAAGGGGGCCTAAAATTTTATAGGCTTTGTTATATATATATATATATATATATATATATATATATATATATATATATATATATATATATATATATATATATATATATATATATATATATATATATCTGAATTATTTATGGGTGATATAAGTATAAAACATTCTTAATGTATAAGCCCAACAAAACTCCATTCAAACTAGGCATGCAAAAACCGGTTTTTTTTCTGAACCGGACCGGTTCAGAAAACCGGTTCGGTTCCGGTCAACGTAGTCAAAACCGGTTCACCCCCAAACCGGTTCGGTTCCAAACCGGTTCTGCCCCAAAAATATCCGAACATATGTAAACCGGTTCGGTTTAATAGAAACCGGTTCAGCAAAAACCGGTTAAAAAACCGGTCCAAAAACGGTTCAAAACCGGTTCGACGCAAATAAGCTTTTCTAATTTTTTTTTTTATTTTTGGGCTAATAAGTGTAAAATAGGAATGGTTTTTTTTTGTTTAGAGTATAACGCACTAGATTGTCTTGAACCAAAAAAAAAAATTTGGCTTCAGAGTAGGTGGTTTGGGGGATTGGGAAGGCAAAGGCTTATAAGCCTTACATATATACATACACATACACGTCCATATGGACCATATTGCCAAAAGGTTTTTTTTTTTTTTTTTTTCTTGTTCAATAATATACATATCTTTTCATGTATTAACTTTTTTTTTGGTTTTAAATTTTATGTTTGTGTATATGTAGAAAAACATAATGTATGTAAAAAATTGTTCAACTTGAATCAACACATTTTTTGGAGCAATTTTCAACCTTTTTTTTCATTTTTTTTTTCAGTTTTTTTTATATTAGAAATACGTAATACAACTTCAAACATAAAAACACAAAACATCCAAATATAAAACATTGTTGTCGTCATACTAATACATCTTCAGAAAGGGAACATTGTTGTCGTCGTAGTCTTCATTCCAAGTCCGTAGTCATTGTATTTATTCGTCATCCGTCATGTCGTTGCGCAATCCTCTCTCATACTCGAGCTCTTCTAGGGTGAGTGGCACCGACATTCCCATTGCTACTTCTTCCTCATGTACTCGTGCTTCGGCATGCAACGATGTGTCTTCTAGTGCTTCAACATCTTGTATCCGTTCCACACCATCAAGGTAGCATTTCAAGCAAATGCACACTTCCACCGACAAAGGGGTGAGTTTTGTTCTTCTTGGTGATATAACCCTGCCACTAACAGAAAAAGCCGATTCCGAAGCTACCGTAGAAGCTTGGGAGCTTAGTAGATCACGGGCCATAGCGGCTAGAATCGGAAATTAGGTTTCCTTTCCTTTCCACCAAGCCAAAATATCAAAATTTTCAAACTCTTGAATACTCATTTGAGACAAGAAATCGGAACCAATGTACCTTCCGAGCTAGCTACTAGGGGTGTTAGACCGAGCTCGTTTGGAATTTTCATTCCTCAAAGTATTATAAAGCCTAATTGTTTCGTTATTTTGGTGAGAAGTGGATCCGGATGCCCCCGTATTTTGCATCATGTCATGAATGTTTGTTGAACCATATTTTGTTAAATAAACTTCAAACAAATTTTGAAAAACTTTGTTAAATTTTGAAACTTCCTTTGATGCATAATCAATGTCATCATCCAATAAATCCAAATCGTAACAAATATTTTCAATTAAAGTCTCAACCCCCCCAACATTTAGAGCCGGATTCAAAGCGGCGGAACAAGTAATAATGGGAGGCATTTTTTGAAAATATTTTTTTAACTTTGCTTTCATCGGTTTCATCATATTAGCAAACATTGCGCTCCTCATTTCAAACTCATTTATTTTCGCACTCATTAAAAAAATTTGGTTTAAAACTAAACAACTTGTAGGGTAATAAACCCCCGATAAATAAGTAGTTGCTTTTTTAAAAACATCAAGCATGTCCGTAACAAGTTTGATAGTATCCCAACTTGATTTCGGATAAGCTGTAACCTTGTTACGGTCCGCAAGGTTGTCATGGAACATTTTTAAAGTATCTTTTTGACGTAAGGCACATTCAAACATTTTGCAAGTGGAGTTTCATCGGGTATTATTTTCCCAATTCGGACCTAAAAAGAGGGCATTCGCATCGACACAAAATTGCATATAATTATGATATCGAGCGTTACTTGAACTAAAAATATCTTTTAGCATGTCTTTGAAACCATCTTTTATAGTTTCAATGCTAGTTAGTCCATCTTGCACAACCAAAGTAATGATATGTGCAACACATCGACTATGAAAAAAAACACCATCGCAAATTGGTTTATATTTTAGTTTTAGTTGTCCAACCGCGACGGTGTTGTTTGAAGCATTATCAAAAGATATAGAAAAAATCTTTCCTTCAAGTTTATAAGTTTTGATCACACAATCTAAAATTTTAAATAAATTTCTACCGGTGTGCGGGTACTCAAACAATTCAAACGTAATCGTACGCTTCATCATTACCCAATTAGTTGGATTAATCCAATGAGCGGTAACACAAAGGTACGCATCCGGTGAACCGTGAGGAGCCGTCCAAACATCACAAGTTAAATTCACACCGGTTTCTAAAGATTGAAATCCTAAAATCAATTCATTTTTGCAAGTTTCCACATTTCAATACAATCACGTCTAATAGAAGTACGACTCACATGGCAATATCGTGGTTGGAGAGTATCTTGGATGAGTGAAGTCAAACGTTTGTTGTCGAAGTGGTCAAAAGGCAAGCATTCTTGAATCACGAACTTCGCCATCCTATCCCGAACTTTAGCCAAATCGTAACTCCACAATGTTGCATCATTCGCCATTGTTGTTTGATTATGACCCGACCCAAATTTCACCGCGGGACATCTTTTGGTCATATGAGTTTTCAATGTCGAATTCCCTTCTTCATTAAAAAAAGCACCACATTTCTTGCATCGCGCCTTTTTTAGACCATTCGACATTACACACAAATCATAGTTGCACCAAATAGCCGGATTTCTATTTGTTTCTTTGATGCTAACAACGGTAAGAGTGTTTGATGAATCTCCAATACCAACGGAAGCCGAATCCATTGTTTGAATTAAGAGCGTTTTTTGAAGTAAGAGATGTTTTTTGAGGTTTGGTTAACCCAAAACATCTAATAGCTATTTATACTATCAAATATTGGGGAATATGGCCAAAAGGGACCAAAAATCGGGTGTCTAACAGCCATAAACGGCTATATAGCCGTTAGAATAAGACAAAAAAACGGGCATATGCAAAACCGGTTCAAAACCGGATCAAAACACCGGTTCATACTAAACCGGTTCGAAACCGGTCTCAACGGTAACTACAGCGAATCGGTATTGGTCCGACGGTTCGGTTCAAGTGCGGTTCGGTTCAGGGCTGAACCGGTTCAAGGGTAAACCGGTTTCCGATACACTGACCGGTTCGGTTTGTGAACCGGTTTTTTTGGTCACGTCTAATTCAAACTCCATATTAGCGGCCCAAATGTAGAACCTAGCCCAACAAAACTTAGAAGCGGGAGACCTAGGCGCCGATTAGAGAATAAACATGATATGGAAAACTGAAACGTCGTAGACTCGCCTCGCGATACGCAAGCGTGCGTCTGATTTGAACGTTGCGATGATTCTTCTTCTTCTTCAAGTGGGAGACCTAACCACGAGTCACGACTCTATTAATCCGCTATTACCGAATTCGTCCATTCCTACTGCAGTCTACATTCTACACCAAGTCACGGCTTCGACTCATTTCTGCTATGATTCTGATTTTTTGCTTCAATTCTTGAAAGGCTTCTGAAATCACGACTCTATAACTCTATTGCAAGGCTAATACACGATTGTGAGTCCAATTTCATTATCAATTCACTCTAATTTCCCATATTTTGAGTCCGATTTCATTAGGTAATACCAAATTTCTTTCGATCTTTTTTTGTTTGGTAGTTGCTCACTGATTGCAAGTGTAAAAAAAAATTATGTTTGTTTGTTTGCAGCCCAATCTTTGTAACTTTGTGATTCAAAAATCTGATTTTAGGCATTTCTACTACTCCCAAGCAATCTACAAGTCTGAATGTCTAATTTCATTATGGCGAGTTCGATTTTTTTTCTTAGTTTTGACGATACTTGCTGTTTTTTTTTTCTTATTCAAGTTGCTGAAAATATTTTATTTTTGTTTGTGTGTAGCCCAAATTTTGTTAACAGCTGATTTCTGGTCATATTGGCAATCAAAGTTTATTGAGGTAAAGTTTTTGCTTTCTGTTTGCTTTCAAATTACAAATAGCAATCTGTTTTTTTGTTGATCTTTCATCAAAGTTTCTGATTTTTTTTATTGTTTGTAGATTAACAAAAAAATCATTAAAGTTTTTGATACGGGCCTGGTAGATTCAAGCCTTCAACAGAAAAGCACCATTTGGATTCAACCATAAAACATCATCAAAGTTTTTGATTTTCAGGTGTATTCTTTCCTTACTAGTTACTATAATGTCTCCTAAAAAACACTTATCAGGAGCTGAAAAAAGAAAAAAACGAAAAATAGCTGAAGAATCTAAATTGAAACAAAAAGGATCTTTAGATAAGTTCATTAAACTGAAACCAATTGGTTCTTCTAGTGTCTCAAATGAATGTGATGATACTAATGTGTCAAATGATTGTGATGATACTAATGTGTCAAATGAACACGATGATACAAATTTGTTTAATGATTGTGATGATGCTAATTTTAATAATCCTTTAGATATTTATGACCCTAGAAATTGGAATGTTCTTGATAATAAAACAAGAGATATTCTAATTGAAAAAGGGCCAATAAGGGAAATGAGTCTTGTGTTTCCTAAAGATAAATTATCTATACATTTCTCTTATGTTTTTTATACCCAAAAATTAAATAATGGAGAGACACGAGATCGGAAATGGCTAGTTTACTCAAAGTTTTTGGATAAATTTTTTTGTTTTTGTTGTAAACTTTTTAAATCTAATAATCAAAAAGGTTTTTTAGCAAATGAAGGATATAATGATTGGAAACATCTTAGTGTTCGACTTAAAGAACATGAAAGTAGTAATGAACATTTGAGTTGTATGAGTTCTTGGAATGAAGCAAAACAAAGATTGAATAAAAACCTTACTATTGATAAAGATTTACAACAAGAAATTTTAAAGGAAAAAGAGCGTTGGAGGCAAGTTTTAAGAAGAATAATTGCTGCTGTGAAATTGATGATATTTTTGGTTTGGGACTTTTTAATGAGTTATTAGATGCATTAAAATTGTTAGATCTTGATGTGAATGATGTAAGGGGTCAAGGTTATGATAATGGGTCTAACATGAAAGGAAAACACCAAGGGGTTAAAAAACAATTTCTTGAAATTAATCTTAAAGCTTTATATATGTCATGTGCTTGCCATAGTCTAAACCTAAGCGTTTGTGACATGGCACTTTCTTGTCGTAAAGCTGTTTCTTTTTTTGGTATTGTTCAATGCTTATATTCATTATTTTCTAGTTCTACTAAAAGATGGAAAGTATTATTGGATAATGTTCCAACTTTAACTATAAAGTCTTTATCTAATACTCGTTGGGAAAGTAGAATTAAAAGTGTCAAAACTATTAGATTCCAAGCTCCTCAAATGCGATTAGCTTTCCTAAACTTGGCTAAATCATGTGATGATCCAAAATCAAAAAGTGAAGCCAAAAGTTTAGTTAAAGCTATTAAGAGTTTTGAATTTTTACTTAGTATGGTTATTTGGTATGAAATTTTATTTGCTATTAATATGGTAAGTAAAATATTGCAATCTAAATCTATTTGTATTGATGCCACTATTAACCAATTACAAAATGTAATGACATTTTTTAAGAAATTTAGAAATGAAGGGTTTGCTTCAAGCATAAATATTGCTAAAACAATTGCTTTAGAAATGGGTGTTGAACCTACATTTCCACATAGGGTGTAATGTCACTAGAAAAAAAACAATTTGATGAAAGTGATAGTGAAGAAGAAGAAATACAATCACCGGAAGAGTATTTTAAGATTCATTACTTTTATGTTGTTGTCGATGTTGCAATTGTTTCATTAAATACTAGATTTGAACAATTAAAATATTTTGAAACTATATTTGGCTTTTTATATGATTCAAAGATTTTAAAGTAATTAGATGAAAATAAGCTTAAAGAGTGTTGTATAAAGTTTTTAAATACTTTTTCTAATGACAATTTTTCTGATGTGGATTCAAATGATCTTTTTACCGAATTAAAATTTTTGCAAGACTCTTCCTAATGATATTAAATCTGCAGTTGAAATTCTAGAAGTTGTTAAAGTTGAGGATTGTTACCCAAATGTTTTTATTGCATATAGAATCCTATTAACTATTCCTGTAACTGTTGCATCTGAAGAGAGAAGTTTTTCAAAGTTGAAGTTATTGAAGAATTACTTAATGTCGTCGATGTCACAAGAAAGGTTGAACGACTTGGCAATTCTATGTATAGAGAAGTACATGCTAGACAAGATTGATCTTGAAGATATTATTAATGATTTTGCATCTCAAAAAACTAGAAGGAGTATTTTTCTTTAATATTTTGGATTTTGTAACGGAAATTGTTATATTAAGATGCTAGTACAACTATTTTTTTTAATTAGTGAGTTATTATAAAAATGTTGATGAAATTTATGTATTATAGGGGCTTTTTTTCCCTTCTTGCTCCGGGCCCCAATTATGTTTGGAACGGCCCTGTGAGAGAGAGATATATATATATAAGAAAATTACATTTTCATTTAACATATATAATAAATAACAATCCTAATTATATGGTTTGTAACATCTATTTCCATTAATTTAACTATATTTGTAAGGCTCGCTTTTCTCGCTAAGCATTAATAAAATGATATAATAGTTCGAGTCAACAATTGTAACATATTTGATGTAATGAAAGAAGAAATATTTGAGTATTTTGTGATTTATGTTTAAATTATTTGCAATATACGTGTTTATAACGATATAATATAATAACATTAAAATACATGTCTAAAATAAAATAATAATTAGACCAAATATCTTTGAAGAAAGTTGAAGTAGTCGTGACAAGGATTTCGAAGATATAATGAATGCTCAAATCCGACTTATAACGAAGAAGTTATGACCCGCTGAAGTTTCACGATTAAACCGACACGACTTTACATATCGTAAAAAGTAAATTTTTGATAAATTACTTTTTAGCCTAAGTGGTCTAAACGAAAGTTGTAGTAGTTGTTAAACCGAGAGCGTGCATATAGAGAACGTCTAAATCTGACATCATTAGAAAAAGTTATGATTTTTCGAAGATTAATCGTAACAATATACAACTTAGAAATCGAATTTTAGATCGGTCGATTGTGGAAATCATTAAGAAAGCTCAGGAAGAAGCTTTGCAGAAAAATGACCAAAAGGAAGAACGTTTAGGCAAAACATTGGTATTTGGTACAAATAGTTAAGGATTGAAGGTATTTCAAAACAGAATTTGGGTGCCTAAGATGGGAGGAATAAGAGATATTCTCATGGAAGAAGCTCACAATGTCATGTACTCGATTCATCCTGGCAGCACTAAGATGTATAAGGATCTGAAACCTTACTACTGGTGACCGATGATGAAGCTCGATGTTGCAAAGTATGTGGCAGAGTGTGTAACATGTGCAAAAGTTAAAGCACAACATCAGAAACCATATGGGAGTTTAGAGCCCTTGCCTGTACCCATGGGTAAGTATGAAGACATCACCATGGATTTTGTGACTAAACGAAACAGGACGAAGAACGGTCACGACATGATTTTGTTAATCGTGGATCGATTCACAAAGATTGCACACATCATGAGAGATGGTCTATGGATAAGCTTGCAAATACCTACGTGAAGGAGATAGTAAGACTTCACGGTGTTCCCTTAACGATTGTGTCGGATCGTAATAGTCGTTTCACATCAAGGTTTTGGAAGAGCCTACAAGAGGAAATGTGTACGAAGTTGTGTTTAAGTACAACCTACCATACCCAGAATGATGGTTAGAGCGAAAGGACAATTCAAACACTGGAAGATATATTAAGAGCATGCACCCTAGAATTCAAGGTAACTGGGATGATCATTTACCCGTAGTAGAGTTTTCCCACAACAATAGTTACCATTCGAGCATTAAGATGACACCTTATAAAGCCTTCTATGGACAGAAGTGTCGTATGCCGTCTTGTTGGCCTGAGGCCGGAGAAAAGAAGTTTATGGGTCCCGAAATTGTCCATCAAACTACTGAAAAGCTAAAGGTAATTAGATAAATGATGTTAACAGCTCAAGATTGACAAAAGAGCTATGCTGACAAGAAGCGACGACCAATGACTTTCGAAGTTGGAGATTCGGTGTTGCTCAAAGTCTCACCGTGGAAGGGACTCATAAGATTTAGAAAGAGACGAAAGTTGATTCCAATGTTTATTGGACCATTCAAAGCTCTTCAGAGGATTGAGAACCAAGCTTACAAGTTGGAATTACCAGAAGAACTAGACGGTATTCATAACACTTTTCATGTGTGTTATTTGAGGAAGTTCACGGGAGAAGTTCCTGATATAATTCCACTTTCGGAGTTAATGATTGATGAAGAGGTTAATCAAAGAGCCCAAAGCGATTGTTGACCGTAAGACGAAGAAATTACGACGCAAGATGGTCGAATTAGTGTTAGTGTGATGAAAACATTTGAATGGGCCAAACCTCACCTGGGAGATAGAGAGTGGCATGATGAGTCACTATCCACATCGGTTTGCTGATGCATGATTCCGGGATGAAATCATCCTAAGGGGGAAAGAATTGTAATGTCCGCGTTTCTCGCTAAGCATTAATAAGATGATGTAATAGTTAAGGTCAACAATTGTAACCTATTTGATGTAATGAAGGAAGAAATATTTGAGTATTATGTGATTTATGTGTAAATTATGTGCAATAGACGTGCTTATAATGATATAATAAAATATGAATAAAATGCGCGTCTAAAATAAAATAATAATTAGACCTAATATCTTTGAACAGAGTTGAAGTAGTCGTGACAATGATTTCAGAGATATAAGGAACATTCCAAGCCGACTTATAATTAAGAAGTTATGACCCGTTGAAGTTTCACGATTAAACTAACACGACTCTGCATATCGTAAAAAGTAAATTTTTGATAAATTACTTTTTAGCCTAAGTGGTCTAAACAAAAGTCGTAGTAGCCGTTAAACCGAGAGCGTGTATATAGAGAACATCCAAATCTGACTTCATTAGAGGAAGTTATGATGTTTCGAAGATTCAACGTGACAATATACAACTTAGAAATCGAATTTTAGATCGGTCGATTATTAGCCGATACAATCTAAACCAGAATTGAATATCTCGTTAATAGGAGCTCAACGATAAAAAAACAGTTGAAAACAGACATCGGATGACAAAGTTATGAATTTTTATCGGACTTTAACTGTCTAAGCCTATTAAAATATAACTTTAAAAATAAAGTCAAATTAGCCGACAGAGTCTAAATGAGAGTTGTAGATCCCGTCGATAACTACACGTAGATATAAAGAACGTCAAAAACGAAGCTCATATGTAAAAGTTATGAATTTTACAAGATAATTAATTTTCGGATTAACAAGGGTGCAACACGTGTCGCGATCTGGCACACCCCTTCCTCCCCGCAGCTTGCGATCAGATAGAGACATGTGGCACATTACACCTAGCATAATGCTTATGTACTCCCAGCGTACCCATTACGTCCAACGTAATTTGTAGTACACCCAGCGTACTGGGCTCCTGACAGCCTATAAATAGAGGTCAAATTTCACCCATTTATTCACACTTTTTCATTCCAATCCCTCCCAAACCCCCAAGGTCCCTAAGTCTTGTTCTAAAACTTCTTAAGGGTTAGTAACGAAGCACCGGAGTGCCAGAAAGCCCCAAGAAATAGAGCTTTCGGTTTAAAAGTTCTGCTCACACAAAGTCCGGTTTCTCGCTAAACCACCTGTAAGTTGAGTTATGGTTACCGTGCTTTAATTATAACTTATTTTTAAGTTCATTATCGCTATTATGAACCTTTAAACAAGATACATCAATGATTACAAGTCGTTATACTGACTGGTCTACTTATCAAGGGTAGATTTAGTGAGGTGTTTAAAGCAGACTTTCCAAATAGTATACTATGTATGCTAAACGGACCCTACATCCGATATGATCTTACATGGTTGTCCCTTATCAGCTATAGATCAGTAGACTTTGAATTAATGATGAATCTAGGCTAATAATTAGTCGCAATAAATATTAGACTAAGACTTAGTGATAATGATACTAGGTTACGTCAAAGGAAAAGACAGTTGCTAGAAGCAAAGCCCTGTCTGAGTTTCAAGTCATCACTTTAACACGTGAGTGCATAGTTACTTTCATCTTACACATAGATATGAAGTATTTAAGATAAAATACATGATATATGTGTCTATTATCTGTGTTCCTGATATCTATGCTGGATGAACGATTTATACATGTTTTACGTGATTTAAACTGTATATGTATTTTATACCTTATAAATATGTTGGGTAAAGATGGGTAGATGAAAGATGATATAGATGGTGAAAGATGTAAGACGAGATAAATGATGAGAGACCTTTAATTTAAAGATGATCCAGTTGTCTAGCGAAGTATAAATGACGACCATAAACTATTCTAGACAGTCCAGTGGAACGCTAGTAGGCTCGCAACTTGTAGGTGTTTTTGAGCTAAGTGTTCACCAGGTGTACTCCACCCCCATGGTTTCCTTACTGACATATATTGCTAAGGAAACCCCTAAGCATTATTGTCTATCCCTAAGATAATCCTTAGGATAGGTGTAACGCCCGCACATTCGGGCTAGTCAATTTAGAGACAAGAAGCATCAAATATGAGTTATTGATGGAATATTATTTATAAGGATTAATCATAACCAAGTGGTAGTATATTTTACAAGGGTTTCGTACATTTAAAGAACGCCGAAATCCGAGTTATAACGAAGAAGTTATGGCTCGTTGAAGTTTTACGGCAAAACCGACACGACACCGGGAGACGAAAATAGTGAATTTACAATAGAGGACTTTTTGGCCTTAGTGATCTAAATAAAAGTTGTAGTATACGTTAAACTGAGAGCGTGCATAAAAAGAACACCCAAATCTGACTTCGTATGAGGAAGTTATGAATTTCTAAGATTTGGCATATAACAGTGCACTGCCCGAAACTCGAATTTTAGATCGAGCGGTTTTTGGCCTACGCGACCTAAATGAGATTTGAAGATCTCATTAATAGGAAGTCAACGATAAAAAGAAAGACGAAAACGTAGTCCGTATGAAAGAGTTACGAATTTTTCGCTGTCATTTAACAGTATAATCTCCTCCTACTGTTAAATTTAAGATCGGTTGAGAATTAGCCGTCGGAGTCAAAATGAAAGTTGTAGATCTTATTCTTACCTACACGTGGATATAAAGAATGTAAAAAACGGAGCTCGTATGCCAAAGTTACGGATTTTAGAAGTCGGAAGTGTGTTGTGCGAAAATGGGTGACGTGACACAATCTTGGCCATTGCTTTCTCCCCAAGTCTTGCCACCAGATGGTGACATGTGGCACCAAGTTCAGCCATATTTCACCCTATAAATAGAACCTCTCCCACCCTCATTTTCTTCA